TGGGCACAAATACTCGTATGATCAGATCGTGTTTACCTGGCGGACTGACTTACCGGTCGCCTGTCTCAAGCTCCACGCTTGACTGCCTGCCCACTGATTGCGACATGTGTTTCTCTGACTGATATGCTGATGGCTGTCGATAAGGAAACAATATTTGCTGGAGGGCTGTCCAAATCTGTTCTCTCCAGGCATTGAAGAGAGTCTTAGAAGTCATAGTGTGTGATTTAGCTTATCTGAGCATGTGAATGGCATGCTGTCTGTGGCCGGTGTGTTGGATGGATATGACGTGCAGGTATGTAAACATTGCAAGTATGTAAATAATCAGGTGCATTAAGAGAGACTCATTAAGCTGTGTAGCCTGTTGACTGTGTTCTTCTCAGTCACGACGTGGCTCTTGCCTTGTGTGAAACTCAGGGCATATAGGGTAGGCATTAACAATAAGATTGATTTTAGTCATAAAATTTTGAGCTCATACACAAAATAAGTCTTGAATCAAATTGGATAAGGGCTGTCTGAACCTTGTCCCCATTGAAGCATGGAAGTCAAGGGGTCCAATTTATTACCTTGATGTTGAATGGGACAGATTTAATGGATACCCAGATTCAAATACCAAGGGAGCATTTAACCTCAATGACCCTCAATGACCATCTGAACACTGCATACTATATCATAAAAGACCTCATTTGTGACCAACTTGTGTTATTCGGGACAAACCGAAATAGTGACCTGTGCCCCTCTTGTGGCCATTTTTGCAACTGGGTTCCGTCTAAGCGCAAACGGGCATAGCTAAAAGAATTGTCAACTCATTGCGTAATGATTCACGTATATTTCCCCCGTATATCATATATATTCCAGATGCTATTGAAAACACATCAGGACTTACATTTACATGTGTTCAATCATACTGTATAATAATGTATGGGTATATTTTTAAGTCTAAGACATATGTAAAATCAAACATTATTCCTGAGGGATTCTTTGACCAAAGTAATTGAAGTCCAGAGCTCCAGATAAGCTGCGTATCTGCGTAAAATACGCATCAGAAATGCAGAAATACGCAGTAAAATAAAATCCAAGCGTATCAAATACGCAACGAACATTACAAATACTCTACAAAAATAAAACTTGTGCGTATCATCAAAATATAGTGAAGTAACCCTGCGCATTCGATTCGCAAATCAGCAACTTATTTTGAAATTATAAATGGGCATTCCGTCAACCTTGCCAAACTCCACGATGACAGTTACATCATAATCATTTGCCATCACACTTTCTTGGGGAAGTATCGTGGTATTTTTGAGTCCTACAAAGCTCTCGAACCCACACGACACCAGTTTGCAGGGACTAGATGATTAGTGTTTTTAAATATTTAAGTTAAATACCCACATGTGTAAAAACTAGTGGGTAACAGAAATTTGAATACCCAGATAGAATTACTGATTTCCAATGATTTTAAAATGCATGGGTTAAATACCCACAACACCAAAAGCTTATCTGTGAAGTCATACACGTATTCTGATTTGTTTGTCATATTTTCACACATGTCATTCATCGATAGGGGGACGAGTCTTCTTGCAGGTTACGGAAAGGGGAGAGTGGTGACGAATGAAATGAGTCTCAACGTATTCAAGGGGTTTAGGCTTTTGAGGAAGTGGTGCATATGATACTAGTCCAGTAAAATTTCATTAGGTCTTGTAGACTCGGCTAGTAATAGTTCATATATCAGATATCAACAATAAAATCTACAGAAAAGATGCTGAGAGATGCAACATTCAACAATATTCTGAAGCTGAATGATGTCAGCCTGTAAATATATGAGTCTCAGGCCTCAAAGTTGCGACTAAAACAGTCGCCAATGCGACCTAAATTTCAATTTTTCTACTGTCTATAATTCAGAGGTAGCCAAATGACTACCTTCAAAAATATCTTTTGGTGACTAAATTCTATTGCTGCACATTTGTAGACACAAAAATAAACATGTCTGCTAATAATAGTACTCGCAAATAATTACTCCTAAAGTCAACAATGAACCGAAATACATGAATATTAATGTAATAAGTATTTTATCATATTCGATAGTTTATTGGATAAGCAAGGATATACCTATATAATCTTGTAACATAATTTGCATCATTGTTCGAGTCTCAAATGACAAAACTCCAGTACAGTTTCCACTAATATACAATTCTAAGACTAGTGCTATGACTTGTACCTATAATAGTTATTTGATAAAAGATATTTTCAAATGCTTTTGCCTGCCTACACTATTGGCTTGACTTCTGAATTTTACCACTGGCTACCTGGAAAAAATACTTATAGCCATATGGCTACTTGGTAAAAATTTATACTTTGAGGCCTGAGCCTGGACCAGACAAACCAGTGATTGACACTCTGAGCTGTGTCCCAGACTGTTGTGCACCATCCACCAAGTCCCAGAACCTCACTACCCTTTCCTTCAAGTCAAAGGGCCTGATGGAGAGCGGAAGGTCCGGGGTTCGATCCCCAGCTGCGTCATACCAAAAGATGTAAAAAGATGGTACTTGTTGTTACCCTGTCTGGCGCTCGGTATTAAGGGGCTAAACATGGACCGGTCAGCTCGGAGTCAGTATACTGTGTCTGAGTGGGGTAAACCACATTTCACCTCACCTCAACTCACCTCAACTCACCTCAAAGGACCTGACTACCCATTCTGTCTCAACACCTTGCTCACACGCCATGCTCACTGGGAAGGATTTATAGTGGAGAGGGGAAAATGCATGCTTACAATATTGTGTTTATACCACAAGGGTCCGTTCTGGCCATTGTTTCAGCAGGTTGTTTTTCTTCGCAATGGCCTTGAACATGCAATGTGGACAGGAAGGTAGCGAGGCACAGTTCCCGGTTTTGCATCGTCTCGCAAAACGCAGTGCAGCCATGGCCCATGTAGTATTAGGGTTTGCATAAGCATCGATTTCATTGGTGATATGGACGTCTATGTTGCCTTGGAGGAGGGCGCTAACCGATATTTAAGTGCAGGATGCTTAGTAAGGGTTGTTGTTACCATTGTACATATGTAATGTATACGTATATATATACATTTATGTTAAGGTACGCTTTGTCCTCAAGGGTGGCTGCGTGTGAGTGGCCCAAGTCATTTGTCATTACCTCCCCTTAATCTCAACTCCTTGTAATATGACAAGTCCCTTAAAATGTTAATTTGTTAATTGTTACTTTAATATTTTGTTATATTTGTTGTATCTTTTCATTTACCTAATACATCAAATGAAAATTATTTTAACAAGTTAAAACTATTTACCGACGTATGTTTTATTTTCTGATTGTGAGTTTTGGCTCCACTTGGTCGCACCTTAAGCAGTAAACTAACACTAATATAGCCTCACTTTTGGTTTGTGTTCAGTAATATTGTCTGTAAAGCTTCTTATGGAATTAACTGTTTACAAGAGTAGAAAACACATGATTCCCTTGTGAATCCATGCATGAAATGAAACATAATAGCTTCTGATTTGATATTAGCGAACATATTCAGGGTGTTGAGCCATTTTCACAGCGGGTACCTAGGTAATATTCAAATATTCATTTTATCGTGTTTACTGAGTTAAATATGGAATCTAAAAATACTCTAAAATCAATACGTGTAAAAGATCCAGCTCTTTCTGCAATGAAATTAACGGTCAGATCGACAGCCATGTACCTAAAAATCAATGACTATCTGGAGTGGTTTCTGGAATCGGTAGAATAAATATCGTGGAGGTCTCCTTATCCTGGTCGTCTTGCTCAATCCAAGTCCATCAGTTTGTAGAGTTGGATCATTAGTATACATGGACTTTTCCAGAACATCAGTGTTAGGTGCCGACATGATTGCCTAAGCTTCAGTTTTATTATTGTGTATGGCTTGATCAGTTGTTATTCCTTCATCATTTTCAGTTGTCATCTACCACGCCCTGGTGTGTGTGACAGTGGTTGTTAAACAGTATTAATGGTTTCTAGACTTTGTGGCTGGTATGAATTGGGGAGATAATGTGTGACCGGTTAAGGGGCAGAGTGACACGATCAGCTGGGTCACAGCTGACGCTTGGATGTTCCCTGCACTCAGATGTTGCATGTCTTGTTGATCCTTTAGTGTTTGAGGGGCGGTCGGGTAGCCTAGTGGTTAAAGCCTAAGACCTGGGTCCGATTCCCGACAGGGGTACAATGTGTGAAGCCCATTTCTGGTGTCCCCCGCAGTGATATTGCTGGAATATTGCTGGAATATTGCTGAAAGCGGCGTAAAACCATATTCACTCACTCACTCACTTTACAGGGCAGGTGGCCCATAAATGTTGCCTGCCCATCTTCAAAGTTACCTGCCCACATTCAGACATCATAAATATTAAAGAATTGCTAAAAATAAGGAACAAATCACGTCTTGATTCAGTTGAAATAATGCTAATTGTATTCCTGAGGAAAAGGTCTGTTGTGTTCGATTCCTGGCCTCGTCAAACCAAAAGACATTTAGAAGATGGTACTTTAATGTTACCGAATCTCAGGCGTTGATCACGAAGGGGACAAAATCAAGGACTGGTTCGTTGGCAGATTGTGCACTGTATCTGTTGGCAGATGGTGCACTGTATCTTTTGGCAGATGGTATACTGTATCTGTTGGTAGATGGTATGCTGTATCTGTTGGCAGATGGTGTTCTGTATCTGTTGGCAGATGGTACACTGTATCTGTTGGTAGATGGTACACTGTATCTGTTGGTAGATGGTACACTGTATCTGTTGGCAGATGGTGTACTGTCTCTGTTGGTTGATGGTACACTGTATCTGTTGGCAGATGGTGTACTGTAGCTGTTGGCAGATGGTTAGTCCTGCACCATGACCGTGGAATATATTTATTTTATGAAAAAAACATAATCTAGAAATGCATACAAAAGCAAGTCTAGCTAGCTCAAGCTAGCTCTATTCCACATCAGCATAGGGAATTTTTTTAGAGTCAAGAAGGATATTGTGTAATATAAGATTTCAGAGACTAAATGTTAGTCTAGCAGATGGTACACTGTATCTGTTGGTTGATGGTACACTGTATCTGTTGGCAGATGGTACACTGTATCTGTTGGCAGATGGTACACTGTATCTGTTGGCAGATGGTACACTGTATCTGTTGGTTGATGGTACACTGTATCTGTTGGCAGATGGTACACTGTATCTGTTGGTTGATGGTACACTGTCTCTGTTAGCAGATGGTACACTGTATCTGTTGGTTGATGGTACACTGTATCTGTTGGCAGATGGTACACTGTATCTGTTGGCAGATGGTACACTGTATCTGTTGGTTGATGGTATGCTGTATCTGTTGGCAGATGGTGTACTGTATCTGTTGGCAGATAGTTTACTGTATCTGTTGGCAGATGGTACACTGTATCTGTTGGCAGATGGTACACTGTATCTGTTGGCAGATGGTACACTGTATCTGTTGGTTGATGGTATGCTGTATCTGTTGGCAGATGGTGTACTGTATCTGTTGGCAGATAGTTTACTGTATCTGTTGGCAGATGGTACACTGTATCTGTTGGCAGATGGTACACTGTATCTGTTGGCAGATGGTACACTGTATCTGTTGGCAGATGGTGTACTGTATCTGTTGGCAGATGGTTTACTGTATCTCTTGGTAGATGGTACACTGTATCTGTTGGCTGATGGTGTACTGTATCTGTTGGCAGATGGTGTACTGTATCTGTTGGCAGATGGTTTACTGTATCTCTTGGTAGATGGTACACTGTATCTGTTGGTAGATGGTACACTGTATCTGTTGGCAGATGGTGTACTGTATCTGTTGGCAGATGGTGTACTGTCTCTGTTGGCAGATGGTTTACTGTATCTGTTGGTAGATGGTACACTGTATCTGTTGGTAGATGGTACACTGTATCTGTTGGCAGATGGTGTACTGTATCTGTTGGCAGATGGTTTACTGTATCTGTTGGTAGATGGTACACTGTATCTGTTGGTAGATGGTACACTGTATCTGTTGGCTGATGGTGTACTGTCTCTGTTGGCTGATGGTGTACTGTCTCTGTTGGTTGATGGTGGACTGTATCTGTTGGCAGATGGTACACTGTATCTGTTGGTTGATGGTACACTGTATCTGTTGGCAGATGGTGTACTGTCTCTGTTGGCAGATGGTTTACTGTATCTCTTGGCAGATAGTTTACTGTATCTCTTGGTAGATGGTACACTGTATCTGTTGGCTGATGGTGTACTGTATCTGTTGGCAGATGGTGTACTGTCTCTGTTGGCAGATAGTGTACTGTATCTGTTGGTAGATGGTGTACTGTCTCTGTTGGCAGATAGTGTACTGTATCTGTTGGTAGATGGTGTACTGTCTCTGTTGGCAGATAGTGTACTGTATCTGTTGGCAGATGGTGTACTGTCTCTGTTGGCAGATAGTGTACTGTCTCTGTTGGCAGATGGTGTACTGTATCTGTTGGCAGATGGTGTACTGTATCTGTTGGCAGATGGTGTACTGTATCTGTTGGCAGATGGTGTACTGTCTCTGTTGGTTGATGGTACACTGTCTCTGTTGGTTGATGGTACACTGTATCTGTTGGCTGATGGTGTACTGTCTCTGTTGGCAGATGGTGTACTGTATCTGTTGGTAGATGGTGTACTGTCTCTGTTGGCAGATAGTGTACTGTCTCTGTTGGCAGATAGTGTACTGTCTCTGTTGGCAGATAGTGTACTGTATCTGTTGGTAGATGGTGTACTGTCTCTGTTGGCAGATAGTGTACTGTCTCTGTTGGCAGATGGTGTACTGTCTCTGTTGGCAGATAGTGTACTGTCTCTGTTGGTTGATGGTACACTGTATCTGTTGGTTGATGGTACACTGTATCTGTTGGCAGATGGTGTACTGTATCTGTTGGCAGATGGTGTACTGTCTCTGTTGGCAGATAGTGTACTGTCTCTGTTGGCAGATAGTGTACTGTCTCTGTTGGCAGATAGTGTACTGTATCTGTTGGTAGATGGTGTACTGTCTCTGTTGGCAGATAGTGTACTGTCTCTGTTGGCAGATGGTGTACTGTCTCTGTTGGCAGATAGTGTACTGTCTCTGTTGGCAGATGGTGTACTGTCTCTGTTGGCAGATAGTGTACTGTCTCTGTTGGTTGATGGTACACTGTATTTGTTGGCAGATGGTACACTGTATCTGTTGGCAGATGGTGTACTGTATCTGTTGGTTGATGGTACACTGTATCTGTTGGTTGATGGTACACTGTATCTGTTGGCTGATGGTACACTGTCTCTGTTGGCAGATGGTGTACTGTATCTGTTGGTTGATGGTACACTGTATCTGTTGGTTGATGGTACACTGTATCTGTTGGCTGATGGTACACTGTCTCTGTTGGTTGATGGTACACTGTATCTGTTGGCTGATGGTGTACTGTATCTGTTGGCAGATGGTGTACTGTATCTGTTGGTTGATGGTACACTGTATCTGTTGGCTGATGGTGTACTGTCTCTGTTGGCTGATGGTGTACTGTATCTGTTGGCTGATGGTGTACTGTATCTGTTGGCAGATGGTGTACTGTATCTGTTGGCAGATGGTGTACTGTATCTGAGTGTGATATCCATGTTAACACTGTAGCATCTCTGAGTGGACTTAAGACACATTAAAACAGGCATTTGTCTGCATTTACAAGTACACACACACATATGCATATATGTTGTAATGTAGCTGCAATTATCTTGAACACGACGTAAATCCCCCTTGACCTCACCTCACCTCACCTTAAATTCACTATTCTGGATAGAACAGGTCCTTAGCCACACCTGCTTCCGTAAGAAGCTTGTGGACTTTGTTGATGCATGTCATCTAATCCCAATTGTGTGGATCAATGCTCATGATGTCAATCACTGGATTGTCCGGTCCTAGATTATTTATAGACCGCCATCATATAGCTTGAATATTACTTCACTATACAGCTTGCACCTGTTCCACAAAGCGATCATAGTGTTACGACTATCATAGTTACCATCATCTTTGTGCTACAATCCCTTTGAGGAACGTGACCCTGAAACATCAAATTCTCTCTTATGTTCCTTCACTGTATTTCTGTTCTCTTGCAGCATGCAGAAGAGCGGGGATGGCCACTAATGGTGAGGTGTAAGACCAGGTGTCTTCTTGGGGCAGTCAAGTCCGGAGTCAGTCGCACCAGCGCAGGGGGCCAGGAAAGGTGAGGGGGAAGGCCGTCAATGTTTGTTTGCCATGCTGCCTGTTTATGATGGCATGTAATCAAACAAGACACCAAGCCTGGCAATCTGATCCAAATTAGTCTCCTCATATGACATGCAAAAGAGTGCTGGGGAATTCATTCTAACCTACCGAGTCGAAATGAAGCAGGCTGGTTGTTTCACAAAGTGATCGTTGCTACGAGATATGAAAGTCGTAAGTCTTATGTATGCCGGGAATTACAATAATCTTTGCACTCTATTATGGCTTTGTAGACATGACTTGTATGTCCAAGATAACAGGACCAATAAGAAGGAAGAGGCATTGCTTTTTGGAAACAGTCTTCTAGTACACTTGAATTTAAGAAAGTATGGACTTGCAAAAAATCCCACATTTACACAATGATTTTTCCCTATTTGCCGGACAAGGGCACTTAGTTTGGAATCGTAGATCGATCCCTGGTCTCACCAGAGAGGTGACAAGGACCTGCATCACATCAGGCTTTCCGCCCACATCTAGATGACACACGGTGATGCATGAAGCAGCATTAAGCCGCCTCCCAGCCATCACAACAACTTGGGGGACTTGCAGTGTTGGTTCAGAAAAGCAATCAATGATCAAACATAAATAAAAATAGGAAAATCTTACAATTGGAGCATACCTTCCAGTGAAACCCTTCAAGTATATAGCAATAAAGCAAATAGAAAAACTCAAATTACATGTCACAGCACTCCTCAATACATATCTTGAAGCCATGTCATTATCAAGCTTTTGTGTTTTCTGAAACAAGTTACCTTATTTGACGTAATGAGCAACCAGGGCGCTCTCAAAATTAGAAATAGGGGCTCTTATTAGAATCTTATTTTGGTGAGAAAAACAGAGTTGAAAGATAAATTTCGTGGTTTATTCTGCCAGCCTGAAATGTTTATATATGACAGATATTTTTGGTATATTTTCGCCCATAATTATGGGTGCATATAACACACAAGTGCGTATTATACACGAATAAATAAGTCTTTTGTACATTGATCAATCAGAAGGGCTGCTTAAATTGGGATTGTTCACTAGCCAATATATTAGCAATTATCGCTGTAGGCGCTTATTACTTCGAATACGGTATACTAAATTGTTATCATCCTCCATGATTTTAGTATGAAATTAATGAAAATAAATGGAAAATAATCACTAAAAATATTATGATTGACTCTGGGTTGAAACAACCGAAAACCAACTGATTAACTATGAAATTGAACTGGAACTACACTGGCTATTGGGCAGCTATTTTGCCACAGGTCCTCATAAGCAGATGGGATTAGTGGTCAGTATAATAAATAATATATTTATGTGTTGGTTTCAGTACATCTCACCCTTGAACCCTAATTATACACATCATCGATCCCAAGTCTTGAAAGATCCAATTTCCCATTGGAAACCATTAGACCGATTCGGTTCATAACTTGAATGAATGTTTGATGTCTGAACTTTGTCCTCAGGTCAACATGGTCAGACTCTATACCTTCAATGGCTTAGAGTCATGAAGACTCTTTACATTACCTACACTTCTGTGTTCTGAGAAATAATTAATAATAGATGTGTGTTACACACAGAGACGACTTTAAGTCCCCCTGGAGCTGGTGATAAGAACTGATGTAGAACTGCTTAGCAAGCAGCTGCCTGTTCTCTTTGGACAAATCTGGTGCTTTGTACTTTGCTTCCCCGAAGAGATACCTCATGTTTGTCTCTCTGTAGGGATTCCTGGCCAGAATAGATAGTCAGTACCTCATGCTTGTCTCCCTGTAGGGATTCCTGGCCAGAATAGATAGTCAGTACCTCATGCTTGTCCCACTATAGAGATTCCTGTCCAGAATAGATAGTCAGTACCTCATGCTTGTCTCCCTGTAGGGATTCCTGTCCAGAATAGATAGTCAGTACCTCATGCTTGTCTCCCTGTAGGGATTCCTGGCCAGAATAGATAGTCAGTACCCATGCTTGTCTCCCTTTAGAGATTCCTGGCCAGAATAGATAGTCAGTACCTCATGCTTGTCTCCCTGTAGGGATTCCTGTCCAGAATAGATAGTCAGTACCTCATGCTTGTCTCCCTGTAGGGATTCCTGGCCAGAATAGATAGTCAGTACCTCATGCTTGTCTCCCTGTAGGGATTCCTGGCCAGAATGGATAGTCAGTACCTCATGCTTGTCTCCCTTAAGAGATTCCTGGCCAGAATAGATAGTCAGTACCTCATCCTTGTCTCCCTGTAGGGATTCCTGGCCAGAATGGATAGTCAGTACCCATGCTTGTCTCCCTGTAGGGATTCCTGGGCATAATAGATAGTCAGTACCCATGCTTGTCTCCCTGTTGGGATTCCTGGCCAGAATGGATAGTCAGCACTCATGCTTGTCTCCCTGTAGGGATTCCTGGCCAGAATACATAGTCAGTACCTCATGCTTGTCTCCCTGTAGGGATTCCTGTCCAGAATAGATAGTCAGTACCCATGCTTGTCTCCCTGTAGGGATTCCTGTCCAGAATAGATAGTCAGTACCCATGCTTGTCTCCCTGTAGGGATTCCTGTCCAGAATAGGTAGTCAGTACCCATGCTTGTCTCCCTGTAGGGATTCCTGTCCAGAATAGATAGTCAGTACCTCATGCTTGTCTCCCTGTAGGGATTCCTGGGCATAGTAGATAGTCAGTACCCATACTTGTCTCCCTGTAGGGATTCCTGTCCAGAATAGATAGTCAGTACCCATGCTTGTCTCCCTGTAGGGATTCCTGTCCAGAATAGATAGTCAGTACCCATGCTTGTCTCCCTGTAGGGATTCCTGGCCAGAATACATAGTCAGTACCCATACTTGTCTCCCTGTAGGGATTCCTGTCCAGAATAGATAGTCAGTACCCATGCTTGTCTCCCTGTAGGGATTCCTGTCCAGAATAGATAGTCAGTACCCATGCTTGTCTCCCTGTAGGGATTCCTGGCCAGAATACATAGTCAGTACCCATACTTGTCTCCCTGTAGGGATTCCTGTCCAGAATAGATAGTCAGTACCCATGCTTGTCTCCCTGTAGGGATTCCTTTCCAGAATAGATAGTCAGTACCTCATGCTTGTCTCCCTGTAGGGATTCCTGGGCATAGTAGATAGTCAGTACCCATACTTGTCTCCCTGTAGGGATTCCTGTCCAGAATAGATAGTCAGTACCCATGCTTGTCTCCCTGTAGGGATTCCTGTCCAGAATAGATAGTCAGTACCTCATGCTTGTCTCCCTGTAGGGATTCCTGGGCATAGTAGATAGTCAGTACCCATACTTGTCTCCCTGTAGGGATTCCTGTCCAGAATAGATAGTCAGTACCCATGCTTGTCTCTCTGTAGGGATTCCTGTCCAGAATAGATAGTCAGTACCCATGCTTGTCTCCCTGTAGGGATTCCTGGCCAGAATACATAGTCAGTACCCATACTTGTCTCCCTGTAGGGATTCCTGTCCAGAATAGATAGTCAGTACCCATGCTTGTCTCCCTGTAGGGATTCCTGTCCAGAATAGAGTCAGTACCTCATGCTTGTCTCCCTGTAGGGATTCCTGTCCAGAATAGATAGTCAGTACCTCATGCTTGTCTCCCTGTAGGGATTCCTGTCCAGAATAGATAGTCAGTACCTCATGCTTGTCTCCCTGTAGGGATTCCTGTCCAGCATAGATAGTCAGTACCTCATGCTTGTCTCCCTGTAGGGATTCCTGGCCAGAATAGGTAGTCAGTACCCATGCTTGTCTCCCTGTAGGGATTCCTGGCCAGAATGGATAGTCAGTACCCATGCTTGTCTCCCTGTAGGGATTCCTGTCCAGAATAGATAGTCAGTACCCATGCTTGGTCCCTGTAGGGATTCCTGTCCAGAATAGATAGTCAGTACCTAATGCTTGTCTCACTGTAGGGATTCCTGTCCAGAATAGATAGTCAGTACCCATGCTTGTCTCCCTGTAGGGATTCCTGTGCAGAATAGATAGTCAGTACCCATGCTTGTCTCCCTGTAGGGATTCCTGGGCATAATAGATAGTCAGTACCTAATGCATGTCTCCCTGTAGGGATTCCTGTCCAGAATAGATAGTCAGTACCCATGCTTGTCTCCCTGTAGGGATTCCTGTGCAGAATAGATAGTCAGTACCCATGCTTGTCTCCCTGTAGGGATTCCTGGGCATAATAGATAGTCAGTACCTAATGCTTGTCCCACTATAGAGATTCCTGTCCAGAATAGATAGTCAGTACCTCATGCTTGTCTCCCTATAGGGATTCCTGGGCAGAATAGATAGTCAGTACCTCATGCTTGTCTCCCTGTAGGGATTCCTGGGCAGAATAGATAGTCAGTACCTCATGCTTGTCTCCCTGTAGGGATTCCTGTCCAGAATAGATAGTCAGTACCTC